TGTGTGTACATTAATGAGGAAAAAAATGAACTTAAATGATTTTAGCATATGGCTGCAATATAACAAAGAGTGAAAAATTTAAGGGGGTCTGAATACTTTCCGTACCCACTGTACATCTGTTGTGACAGTTTGCGCTGAAAAATCTTGTATTGATTTGCATTATTGTTTAATAAAAATATATTTTTTAAAAAGCTATGCTAACGTTTCCACCCGTTTTAAGTCTTCATGCTAAGCTATGCTAATTCCTCCTCTCTTCTCCTCCTCCTCCCTGTATCCTCCTCATCATCATCCGTGCCCTCCTTCTCCTCCTGCTCCTGCCTGCTGTCTGACCTCTCTGCATCCTCCTCCTCCCTGTATCCTCCTCCTCATCGTCCGTGTCCTCGTTCTCCTCCTCCTCTTCCTTGTGTCTTCCTCCTCCTGCCTGCTGTCTGACCTCTCTGCATCCTCCTCCTCCCTGTATCCTCCTTCTCATCGTTGGTGTCCTCATTCTCCTCCTATTCTTCCTTGTGTCTTCCTCCTCCTCCTGGCTGCTGTCTGACCTCCCTGCATCCTCCTCAGTGGAGCTGCGGGGCATGCTCCTCCTCACCGTGCTGCAGTGCTGTTCGGTGGCCCGCGGCGGCTGTGAGCCTCGGCTGGTGAACATCGGAGCCGTGCTGAGCCAGAAACGCTATGAGCAAGTGTTTAAGGAGGCAGTGATTCAGGCCAATACGCTGTATGGGAAGGACAAGTTCAAGATGAACGCCATCTCTGTCACACACAAGGCCAACGCCATACAGATGGCCCTGTCCGTGTGCGAGGACCTCATCTCCAACCAGGTGTGTCACTCACCCTACACCGGCTTCTAGTTCTCAGATCGGTGTCTTTGAAGCCAGGCACACACGTGTTATTTCTACGGATCGTGTGCGACGTGTTGACTCATACCTCACGGTTTAATCAACCTGGTTGTGCAACTTCTCTTTTGTTTTTTTGAACTTTTATGTCAGTTTTTGTTTTATTTTTAACAGTTGTGTGTTTTTATGGCAGTTTTTACAGCGGTTATTGTGTATTTCGAAAAGTTTTTAGCATCACTTAAAGCTCTGTTTGCAGGTAAACCTTTAATAGCTTCTGACTCAGCATTTATGCAGCTGTGGATTTATTTAAAGTGTCTATTTTTTTGAAATGATATAATTGGACAAAATTAATTTTATGAGCAACGAGTGTGTTTAGTTTTGTGTCACTGTGTTTTTATGTGTGTGTTTTGTGACTGTTTTTACGACAGATTTTAGGTCCTCGCTGACAGACTGCTGGGCTCTGAACCACATGTAGCCGCCTGCTAACAGAGCCAGCTTGGTCAGATTACGAGCACTCACATCTCTGAAATTGTCGGAACAAATTCTAACTTGGCGTTCCCTGGATAGACTGACCACATAGCCGCAGTCTAAGTGGTTAATGGGTCACCTGAAAACATGTCACAAACTAATAAAGTGGCATAACACCAGTCCTATGGATGGAACTGAGAATAGCTTTGAGTCTGGCTCCAAACCTCTGCCACCAGGCTCTCGCCCGGCTGTCGCTGCACAGGGCAGGTCTCTCTCTAGCTGTGGGCTGTGGCCTTGCTGGGCTCCTCCAGTCCCCGTCTCACACAGCGGGGTGGGCTGAGTCACAGCACTCGGTTTCCACAGACTGTGAATTGGCAGCTGTCGCTGACCCAGGGCTTTGTCTCCACTTGTGCTCCGAGCGCTCAGCAACGCAGCCAATCAAACCAACCCAAATCAAATCAGCTGTAACATGGGCCACACTACCTCTCCAAAACAGTTCATCAAAATCAGTTCAATACTTTTTGAGTTATGCTGTTAACAAACAAACAAACCCAGCAAAACATAACACAACATCAGTCAGTCACAGTGATGAGACGAAGCTTCAGAGGATACAAATATAACTGCAATCAGAAATGTAGAAGTTTCCATAATTAAACTTTGGGGCTTTTTTTATCTGTGACTGAAGACTGACAGAAACAAAGAGTGGTGTGTGATGGAGCAGGAAACTCAGACTGAGGCTCGTTTGTCCCATTAGCCTGAGACATCTCATCTGTCTTCAGCTCCATCTGTGTGCCCAGAACAGCGGCCACCGAAGCTGCTATCAGATCAGTTTCACTTTCATTCTGAATTCATGTCTCATCTGATCACAGTGAAAGAAAACCAGTTTGTAGTCAGGCTACACTTCTCCATGGCTGAGATGACTTGTGTACTTTTACTGTGGTACAAGACAAATTTAATAACAAACTGAGGACAGAAATATTAATTTTTATTTCATCTTCATGAACACGAACAGAAAGAGGATGGAGAAAAGACAACATTTTCATGTTTCCTTTGTGAAGGAAATGAGGCCAACATGGCGTTGACACGTTGGACAGAGGCTGTGAGAGAGAGGCAATCAGAAGCACAGAGAGAGAGGGACTTCAGATTAACATCCTCTCTCTCTGCAGAGATACAGATGTAATCTGTCCGCCCTCCCGGTGGAGAGAACATGGGATTATGGAGACAGAAACACTCGGTCATGTAACGAGTGTACAACATCTTCACTGATGTGACAACACATGCAGCGTTTAGAAAAAAATGCTGCAAAGTGAAATTGCCACAGAATACTGAAACACACTAGAAGTACCTTCATTTAAAGGAAAAGTTCGGTCATTTTCTCTATGAACAGTGTGTTCAACAGTCCCCATGCAGAGACTGAGACCGACAGCAAGCTGCCTCTACTCACTGTTAACGCACTGGGTGACGCATCTCATCTCTGTGAAACACCAGACCCCGATATTTGTTAAGAACGTTGCCCCAAAGGACCAGAACTTTTTACAGCATCTGAAGGAACAAGAGTTCAGGGCCCAGGCACGAGGTCTCTGGACTTCCTTAACAAATATCTGGGTCTTGTGTTTCACAGCGTCACCCAGTGCAGCAGTGGGTCTCACTGGTGTGGTTCTATTGTTGTCGAGCAGCAGTGGAGGTCTGTGGCATAGACGCACAAGCTGATCCAGGACTGAGCGACATTAACAGTGAACATACTGTTCAGAGAGAAAATGGCCAAACTTATCCTTTAAATAACAGCTTTCAACTCTCACTGGACGTGTGTTGATCATCATGAAGCTCCGGTCGCTCTGCGTAACTGCAGCAGCATCATTAAGCATTGATGCCATTTATTTGCTTTGAAAACAGAATCAGCTCTGATTTTGTGCAGTTGTCCCCTGTCCCCTGCCTGAAAACACATCTCATTTTACAGCATTTAGTTTTCACTGCTCTCCTTTATGCACTTCCTGTTAGCACCACCTTTTGTCTTTGCCCTGTACTGTCCATTTTGTATTTTCTAATCTTGAACCCACATGCTGTACAAATAAATAATGTACACACAGTCTGTGTTTTCAAAGATGTTGACATAGTATGATCTCATTGTGAGCAGGACTCTGGTCTGCATGAACACATACTGAATAAATGATGCTTCTTCCTCTGTAGGTGTATGCCATCCTGGTCAGTCACCCGCCTCAGTCCAGCGACCACCTGACTCCGACACCTGTTTCCTACACTGCTGGTTTCTACCGAATCCCTGTGGTTGGCCTGACAACACGCATGTCCATCTACTCTGACAAGGTAAGCTGAGCCTTCACTGTGTTGTTCCTCAGGGCTGCATCCTGGGTCCTTTGATATTTCCCTTGCTCCTTGTTTCATCACCTCAGGCTGCTAGAGCTGCAGTACCTTAACCAGTCGAACTCCTGCCAATTTATGTTAATTCTGCAAGTAAACTGATGATAGGATCAAGCTGAACTTTGTTGCTGGGTTATAGCGTCTTGTGTGTTTGTACAGAGCCAAAGATCATTTGTGAAGAAAGAGGTTCCACTCTGTGACGTTATGTCCAACCAGAGTGGGCTGAATGTTTCCTACAGAGTGAGACGACTTCTCTCTAGAGAATCTCATCATGTCACATTCTCCACTTAAAGGTTCATTCTTGTTACATTAATAATTTAAAGAGCCCATGGCACAATTTTTCTGTTTTCTGACTTATCTACAATGTTATAACGGCAAATTCTCATCTCAGATGTGACCTAAAGCTAAAAAATGAGGTGTTCGTATGTTCTACTATTTCTGTTCAGAAGCAGTTCGGTTTATACATGTCTCACAAACTCTCGCTCACAAGACTTTTTTCTAACAAGATAAAGTATTACGTGATAGTTTAAGGATTTCCTTCAATGGTCATAATCTCCAGGCTGTTGCGTGTTCATGTGAGCTTGCCTGACATCCAGAGGTGCCCTTGTAAAAGCAGAATTTTTCGACTGCGCCTGGTTTTGTGGATATATTTTCCCTCCTGCTGCACTGTGACCAGAGGATGTGGAGACAAATACAGGGCCTGAGGCTATTGCATGTCCGGGAATGTTTCTGTACAGGGACTCACTGTTTTACCTGACCGGGTCTAAATTACAAGCAGCCGCCAGTGAAGCCCCCACCATGGTTAGTGATCAGCTGATCAACGCTGGATTCCCCCGGAGCACAGTACCTGTTTGTTCTAACTGCTTGAGGCCAGTGTGTCTGCAGCAGGTGATGTGTTGCTAGTTAACCAGCAGATTAATGACCCATGATGTTGTTGGCGCTACGCCACCTGTTAGAATTAGTTTCACTACTTTGGGGCTGTATGTGGTTGTGTAAGATGCAGTGACCACTGGTTGGATTTACCAGCCTTGGAGCTACTTGAAAGGAGGTGATGTTTCCACTACTCGGTGGGACTTAACGGTAAGTTTAATAAACACAGGTTTGTGTTTGATCTAAACCCACGTTGTTTAGAGTGTTACACATCTCTTTGGTACATATACCGTTGTTTACCTATCTATGGAGGAGACATTCACATTAATTAATGCTGTTGTGGTTCGTTGTGCTGTCCACTTGTGAGACGACACCGGGAACAGGAATTGTGTGCATTCATGAATTGTCCTCTCGTTTTAAGGAAGAGGCTGTCAGACTCTTTGATTCTGAAACAATTACAGAGTATTTGAAGTTATGAGGCGTGCCAAGATAATCTAACATTAAATGGTTGGAAACAAGAAAAATGAGCAGCCTAGGGGGATTTAACCATGAAATGGCTGGATGAACAGGCCATGGGCTCTTTAAGCCGATCGGCTCCACAGTTTTGAATCTGGACCTTCAGTATTTTGATCAGGCTTGTGAGATGTGTGTAACTCCAGCCATATAGGTGCCAGAAAGGAAAAAGTATCAGAAACACAGGTGATGCAGAAACAGGTCTTTGAATTTAGTGGAAATTGTAAGACGTCGGCCTCCTGAAAACTATTGTATAATTGGAGTGTAAATATCTGTCTTTGGCTTTCTAACCCCAGGTAAGGAACACTGTGGGGTTGTAAACAAAATACCAGTGATTCACTGCTTCAGACCTGAAAATATGACAGTCCATGTGTTGTTTTCATGACGTGTCCTGGCAGCTCGAAACAAGACCACTGGAGTCTCCACAGGGACACATGGTAACCATGTGATATTCGGGTCTCCTTTACTTTTCAGCTCTTCAGTTAGTTCAAGGTTTACCATCAATGTGCGTCATAACCTCCATCAACACAAATATGTACATTTGACTCCACATGGAGCAAATGTTTTAAACTGTGGCAAAGCTGAACGGTAACAAACAGCAGGTATGGTAGGTGCTGTACAAAATACAAAAGCAAATCATAAAGAATATGTAACTCATATGTCTCCAGTTGAGACCAACACCTGCTCCTCCTCACCTTTGTCCTCAGAGCATCCACCTGTCGTTCCTGAGGACGGTGCCTCCGTACTCCCACCAGGCTCACGTCTGGTTCGACCTGATGAGAGAGTTCAGGTGGAACCACATCATCCTGATCGTCAGCGACGACCACGAGGGCCGAGCCGCCCAGAAGAGACTGGAGACGCTGCTGGAGGAGAGAGAGACCAAGGTCAGCTCAAAAACACACAGATACACAGGACACAAACACACACACGCGCAGTCAGTGTGTGATGCTGTTGTGCTCCAGGTGCGTGTGTGGGTTTCACTGCATGCAAACAATGAGCTGCAGAATGTGTGGAGCTGTGCTGCGTCATCCGCCCACTTCCATCCCTCACGCTGCAGTTTCACTTCTGTTACCACCTGTTTACACAGGCAGGTCGGAGGGCTCCACACAGGAAGCAGAATAAAATGGATGCAGATGGATGAAATGAAATACACCACACAGAAAGGGAATAAACCACCAACTGACAAAGATTGTAATAGGCAGCCAGCCGGGCGCTCTCAATGCAGCCGGGCACTCCCCGTGCATCCAGGCGCTCCTCCGTGCATCCGGGCGCTCTCCATGCAGCCTGTTACGACGTCTCATTTGGCTGCAGTTAGCTCAGTGAAAGTAAAAGGTGCTCACTGGCCAGTGTTTGACCTGGGGCAGCTGCAGCATGGTTTCCACTGTCTGCCTGCACCTATGGCACTGACAAAATACATATTTCCCACATACGCCTGCATACTGTATGTATCACTGCTTAACTAGCTGAATGTTTACACCTCCCAAAGCATCATGGGGACTGTAGAGCATGGTTATCCCTCAAATCAAAGATGAAGACATGTTAGGAGTTAAACAGTCCATTAATACTAACCTTTTCAAGCTGGTGGCCATTCCTTCCACACAGACACTAAGTGAAACAAATGTAGATGTCAGATCACCCAGAGAGAGAGGTGGTGCCTACCGGTAGCTGAGCGTTTACAGGGTCATGCTCTCCTGATGGCTTTAGTTTAGTCTGTTGGCATACTGGTCCACAAACACGCCTGCATGTTGGCATTTCCATCTGTCACATTCTTTGCCCTGAAAATAGACCCACAGGCTCTAACGTTTGGTAGAAATTCATTTTTGGTGTCTGAGTGTTGTTAAAAGACCTGCTGCTCTGCCTTCAGCAGGGATTTGTAGAAGTGAAACTGCTCTCTGCACATCCCTCCATCCTCCTCCAGCCTCCTCCTGGCTTTAGTACTCTTCCCACCAAAGGCTTCAGTGCAGCTTCTCTTTCATCACTGCTTTTTTCTTCCTTTTCTTTTTATTTATGTTTTTTAATCTCCACCAAAACACTTTGGTTTTGATCCTGTGTCGTCGGTTAGTGTGCCGGAGGTCAGGGAAACCAGTGAAATGGATCATAGACACCCTGGTTATCAATCGGCTTGCTTACAGTATTTAAACGACAAAATAATAAAGTGCAACTGTTAGATCGCCCTCTCAATTCTGACATGTAGGGAGATCCACTGCATCAAACCGAGCGCTCCCTGCTTCTCCTACACAGCTTTAAGTTTAGCACAGATTAGACTGTCCCATTTCGGCAACAATCACATTGTTCTGTCTTCATCGAGACAACACAGGATGCATACATTTATAATGATAAAGAGAGAAATATATTCCTGAAGAGTCGGGGTGGTCGTATTGTGGGGGCAGTTTGAGAAACATTGACATCAGCAACCTGCGCTTCACTGAGCAGATGTGGCATCTGGGCAGAAGTGTGAACTTTATATTTATTTATTTATTGGTAATGTGGGTGAGGTGACCTTTCAAGTGACCCTGAGGTAAAATACTTCACCTCCCTGAAGCCTGGACAGACAACGGTACAACACAGGCCTGTGTACACCCCCAGTGGTTCATGAAACACTGATATTCCTGTCCAGGTTTAAAGACAGACTGAGGCGACGACTTATCTACAGGAGCTTACAGAGTGAGTGTGATTAACTGTTTTATTATTAGGCTGACTGTCTTCGGATTTACTGTGGTTCCTAGTGAATATAAATGTCACAATAAATAAATATAAATAAAAATAAACACTATAAGCAATAAACTATACCTGTTTTAAAACAAAATAAGTCCTCAGGCTGTACATACAAACATTAGGTAGTAAAGGTTGTGCAAAACATTAGTTACTATGCGAACAGCAGGTCCAGTGCAAAATGCCAGTCAAACATATGTTTGATGTGCATGTGTGCCAGGTTTCCTCTCCTCATACATGGCAGGAAGTGCATCCGCTGATGGGCTCGTTCACAGAGGAGGTGCTACGGGTCCACGTTGGGTCATTTGTAATGCGCATACACTGAATTTTTGCATTCAAGTAGCAATAATAAAGCCCTCAACAACAACAAGCTAGAAAAATGTGCTTCTCCAGAGGAAACAGTATTGAAACTTTAGTTGAAAATAAAAATGATGGTGTTGTCTGTGACGGTGCTGGATTGTCCTGAGTACAGCTACGTTGTTTTACTGTAGGTAAGATGCATCTGTGCTGCAGCTGTTTACTGTGCAGACAAGCATTTAAGTTAATCATTCTGCAGTAAGATCACAATGTTGCAGAAGAAGGTTTCAGCAATTAATGGGGTTACCAAGGGTGTAAACTGTGCTCAGCTCCTCCCTCACCTGTTGATCCTGGTGATAAAGTCATAGTCAGGGAGTTGAAGGCTGACATTTCAGGCTGTGATGCTGAAGACAGAGCTGAGCTCTAGTAGGCTCCACCCCAGTTTAACCTCTGAGTATCAGTGTGACTGAATGTTCTTCAGGCTCATAGGTGACTGACAGGTGGCCGCCTGCTGCTCTCTGTAGCTGCTAGACTTTCACAGCTTCTCTCTATAACAAACCTCAAACAGTTCTGCTGGGGCTGTGGTGAAGGACTGACACTAATAAGACATCAGAGGGGCTGTCACACTGGTCCACTGAGGTCAACATGGCCTGATTACAACACCTGGTCTGTTAGCATCCTTTAGCTATCTTAGCTAATGTTCTCTGAATTATATGGTCCAGCAGCTAGCCAGCTAGTGAGCTAGCTGACTGTGTCTCTGGTGCACAGATGGCATGTTTAGTGTTTTCTACATCAGCTGAAGGTGACTGTATTGTTATCGAATACAGCTTTGTGTCTGAACATTTAGCTGACATCATGTGGCAGTGTGCGACAGAACATGTGTAGTTCAGTAGGGAGCAGGGCGGACGTGTGGCGCTGTCGTCAGTGAGCTAGTGTTTGGTCCAGGACAAAGGCAGCAGTCCCAGCTTATTATGTGGAAGGTCCTGGCTGCATCTCTGGCTTCAGACCGGCTCCAGTGTAAACCAACAATGACGTGCACTTGAAAACGGTCTGTACCTGGAGCCAATTAACCACTTGACACGTGTCCACTGCTGCAGAGGATCTTCCTGTAGCAGACGGTTTTTGGAACTGTTTGAATAAAGCTTGAACTGCTTCCTGCAGCTTTATGCACCAACAGCTGCAAGTGCACACAAGAAAACGTGTGACTGATGTGACTGCTTACGGCAGGTGGGAAGAAAACTCAAGGTCTTGGTGCATTACATTTAATTCAGGCATTTTTTTAAGAGTCCAGCACTGGCAGAGGGCCAGGTGTAAGTGTGTGTGGAGTCGACATCTTCTCATGAACCTACTGAGTCGACCATGGCTGGTCCCGTGGTTTTCTATCATTGTGTATTTGACAGAGATGCCATGTTCCTAAACGTGTGTTATTAGGTCAGGTATTGATTAGCTGAGCGGTCTTGGTGGAGGCTTGAGCTTTTTACTTTCTCATTTTTTATTATGTTCTTTTATGTTTTTCTCATTTTAGATTTTTCTTCCATTCAGTTCAAAACCAGCTTCAACTGACTTCCGTTTGCTGTGCCCTCTCTTTTCTTTAGTCTGTCCGTCCATGTCATCTTTCAGTTCTTCACCTCCGTCTGTCGTCTGGTTTCCAATCACCTCAACACTGACGGAGAGTCGGAGTCGTGCAAACACATCTCAGCTGCCTCTGTCTCAGCTGTCGGCCGGCCTTGCTGTTAACCCAGCTGTCTTTCTGTGCATGTGCAGCAGACAGACGTACAGACCCCTGTGACTGATATGAGCATCGGTGTGTGGTGGGGGGTGATGGAGACGGGAGGGTCTGTGATTCTCAGTTTTCACGCTTGAATCTGCAGGAGTGAAAGGCGTCGAGGTGCAGGACAGCAAAGTTACAGCATCCTACATCAATGCAGCAAATAGTGAACACTATAAAAAACATATCGTCTTTTCAGTTTTAGGTGTAGTTCTAAAATACACGGAAATGCTGTAAAAGATTACACAAATATACTGTGAAATGACTTCTAATCTAAAATAAGACTGAATAAGTGTCAATTACCATAAAATTCATATTTTTATAAGGTTTTTTTCACATGAATTTACTATTATTTGATTGTCAATTTTATTTAACTGTTAAATTTAAGTTTAGTACTTACTGTAAAAACAACAATATTCCAGCAGTTGAGCATAATAAGAATAACTAATAATAATATGCTTGTAGTCACAATTTGAATGCCGGAGTATTTCTACTGTAGGGAA